GTAGAGTTGAAGGGCTTACCTACTTCTTTTTTAGTTTAAGGGCTTAAATATTATTTTAGAGTAAATTTGAGAGCTTAAGAAAGGTTTTTGCCTTAAATAAAATTTTAAACTTATAAAAAAAATTATGCTTTTTGTATAAATACTTTTTAAATTTTGAAAAACACACTAATAGACAAGTCTCTATCCATAGCAGAAGGTAAATAAATCCTACTACATTCTTTTTCTAGTCCCTCTCTCCTTTTTTTTTTTTTTTTATTAATTTTTATGTTTTCTTTTTATCCTCAAGATGCATCACTAATGCATTGGCGAAACCAATTTATTTGTCCAAATTATTTGTTTCCTATAATAGAGGACAATGTTTCTTTTTTGACACAACTACGCAATAGCCAGTCAAGTTGAAGATAAAAAGTCTTTACAAACGTTAACAAACTTAACAGCTCTGCCATAAAGAGGTGTCTTAACTGAAATCTTAAGTTCCAACTTTTTAGGGGGTGGGGAGAGAAAACACGTTTTATGGCTCACTCATCAATCATCAAATGTTCAAAGCAGAAAAAAAAAAAAGAAAAAGAAAAAAAGAATCAAACCCTATTTAACATGATTTCACATAATATATAATGAAAGACGAGAGACCGTAAGAAATACAGCTGAAGCTCATTGTGCCAACAAGTTTGTGCTAGAAGCATAAAACAACTGGAACAAAATGTTTCAGCAGAAGAAAGGAGGGATAATTTGGCTTCGATGCCCATCAAGTTGCCTCAGGCCGACAACTAGCATGATTGCAAATTAACGACGATGTTAATGTCAATATTAGATAATTGAAAAAAGTAAATAAGGGCAATTGCATCCACGAAATTTGTTTGAAGAACATGGAATTTTTAACAATAGCTATGTTATAGTTACAATATTATGTAAGATTGTAAATTTATAATTATCATATTACATTAAATGAATGTGATATATCATTAAATAAAATTATACATATAATATTAAAATTAAATTTTTAAGTAAAAATAATTAATTATATAATAATACATAATATTATGAGTTTTTAAAACCACATGATATAATTGTTTCATTTTTTATCTAACAAACCTCATGGCCCGAACATCGTCCTAATTTCCCGCAAGGGGAAATAGGCTGTGGTTATAGCCACAAAAATATTTGTTAATTCTACACAAAAACACTATAAGTGTGTTTGATTTAGTTGTTAAGAGATAATTGTAATTATTAATAGATAGTTAGTTGATACTTAATAGAACAATTGATATCTATTACATACTTTAATAATTTGAAATCAACTCATTAGTTGATATTCCCAAACACGCTAACCAGTTATAAACTAATAATATCAAAGAAACTAAACATCCTCATTTAATCTTAACAATTATTTGTGTGGTCATAATCTAAATCAACAATTATTTGTGCGGTCATAATCATAACTGACAAATAGAATTAGCACAAGGCAACCTGATCATATTTTTTCAGATGCAAACTTGCACTTGTGAACTCTCACAACGGTAGGTGCATTGAAGAATTACCACGATAATTTTTGGTGCACTGTAAAATAAAGAACCATCAGAGCATTTTGTGCTTAGCTGACAGAGACAATCTTGGACAATTTTTGACTACCAAGAAAGATCTATATCATATAAGAAAGCACATATGCAACCATGCAAAAGCCACAAACTCCAGATGTCAAAGAGCTTATACTTATGTGCCAGAGCAACCACTAGATAGAGAATAGAGATGTTCACTCATAAAGAAGGCAATTTACAATCAGCAATCAAAGACCAGTCCAAAAATAAACTTCTTACGTGAACCCAAAAAAAAAAAAAACCAAACCTTCTTACTGCTTCGTTCCTGAGCAATGAAGGAAACAGTAGAACAAACTCCAAAAAAACTTCTTGTAGAACTCATCAAGGAAAAAACATAATATATTACCATCTAAAAATTTCAGCATGTCATTGCATATTCTTTTTATTGGATATACAACACCATTTTTCAAGGAACAATAATGTTCATGAACTTCCTTTTCGCAAATGCCAACCACCATTTATTTGGAGTTCCATTGGATCTATAAGCAACACTCAGAAGTCGTCCACTTGTTTCCTCCCTTACTTGCTTCAGATAATTCCTGAACAGCTCTGCATTTAAGAGAAAAGAAATTTTATAAACAAGAAAACCATTTAAACAACCATGTACTCAAAACCATTAGATTAACATCACATCAGATAAGGAGCCATCACGCAGAAGATGAAAACCACATAGTTGTTTACAAGGTTCTATTAGTATATCGATGTTCCTAGTACCCTATAACCATTACTTCTATGAATATAGTTTTTTTTTTTTTCTTTTTTTTCTTGATAAAGCCAAATATTATTATGGTGGAGTATACAGGGTACTCCAACCTTTATACAACCAAAAGGAGTATAACATCTATATGAATATAGAGAAATTTATGAATAGAGATGTTAAAGACAACTGATAGATCTGAGTATAACTATCTTGTAAGTAGGTACAAACAACAAAAGAAAAAGAAAGAACAATCATAAGAGCTACAAAACATAGCATTATGGTCCAATGGAATTCATAGGTATAGGAAGAAGCCCCATCAAATAGAGATTTTTTCTTTCAACCATATTTTGATTGTTTATATGATATATAAGGACCACTATTATAGAAAAAAGTCCTATACCCTTGATCGTGAAATATTGATTACTTCTTGAACCCTGTGAATTGCATGAAAAGAGGATACTACAAATTCAGGGGTCCAGTAGATTTATAAAACATTCTTGGTGAAAAAAAATGTGAATGAAATATGCCACTGAATTGAAATCTCCATAAAAAGCAGCAAATCAACATAGCATAGCAACAGGGACAAGAAAAGGAAATAGAAGGAAACAGTATCCCCAAACATTAATAGTTAATGCTTAATCCACATGGGAAAATAGATGAGTAAAAGACAACAGAAAACAGGAAGTGAACAAGAGCAGGAAACATTGAAGGCACAAAGATAAATTGATCCATATGATTCTCTTAATTATGATTGATAATATCCATTCCTTTATAAGCAACTGCAATCAACATTCTAAACATTACAAGCAATTTATGCCATAAATATTGGTTAACCTAGAAGTTTAACGCAAAAAGATACTTCAACAAATCCACAGCAGTTAGAAGATCTCTATACCTATAAAGCAATAACAATTGTAAAGAAGATACAATGAGGCTTACCTGCTTCTTGTTCAGACTGAGGAAGCACAAAAAGGCCTGGAAAAGGAAAACCAGATTCACCAGGCACAGGAACCTTTTCCAGACCCAAGTTAATAATTGCTTTAGTCCCTTCAGCCAAGGTCCTACATCCCTCTAGCCTCTTCAAAGCCACATTGATGTAGAAAGTCAAATATATCAAAAGCTTATCAGCTGGGCTCTTTAAATCAAAGTTTCTAAAGAAAACATTGGCACGGAAAAATGTGATCGCTTCATCAACAATATCAATTCTATCTGTGCAGAAACAAATTGGACTGTCAATTCAAAACAACTAGAAAATGACAGCACATGGTTGCAACATCATTGGTGAAGCTATTAAAACCGTAAACACAACCTTGGTTGGATGTAGGAGCAGGACCCTTTATATGGCTTTTTAAAGGAAGTAAAGGGCACCCGCAGGCTTTGCTAATACCTTCCACATCTACGAAACTTGAGTGATAAACCTGAATTGACAGACATTTTGAAACCCATATAAACCCAAATTGTCTAAATTCAGCAACAAAATTACAGAAATTTAAACACAAAAGCACAGTAGAGACTCATTCCAGTACCATTTCTTTAATTAGCAATCGAAATAAAAGGACCCCAGGAGTCAGATTCGACAAATGGACATCCAAATGCTTCTGCAGATAACAATCCCACAACATACATTAAAATTAAAGGAAATAAAAAGATGAAAATTTGATGTTTAAACATATAACGTGAAATTAATGAAAACTTAAAGGTCAAACAAATTTATTGTATCAAGGAAATGTAAATTCCAAATAGAAATCACACATATCGTAAGTACCTCATCCCCTCACTTATGTTCCCTTTTATCCTGGAATTATTATCCCAGAAAATTACAAGGGAAACACCCCAATAGAAAATGAAACACTCAGAATAAATCGAAGAAATCAAATTGTAGCATTACGTGCTATCGGATTGTAGGTCTTGGAAAATTCTGCTTCCGATGAATTCTAATTATGATTGCTTAATTAGCTTAGAGCAAAATAATCCTCTATTTATATTGTAAAATCAGAGAATGATTCAAAGAACGCAAACTAAAAAGGAAAAGACTAGGAGGAGAAGAAGGAGAAGAAGCTCAACCTTGATAATTGTCTAAAGTACGGCCAATCGAACTCAAACTCACTCCTCAGATCTGAGTGAAACCTTCACCGGCAATCATGGTGCGCCAATCAGCTCAAAGATTGCTGGTGCTTTTTAGTTTTTCTTCAGAGAGTGGCGAGCATTCGCGTCGACTACAATCGAACCTATGGGAAGCATCTAGGATTAGGACTTACAGGACTTTTGTTAGAGGACAAAATTTATTAGGAAAACAATATTGGAAAACGCCTTTTTTTTTTTTTTTTTTTCACAACACAAGCAATCATTTTTTATCTTTCAATTTTACCTCAACCATGTATCATACCATTTAAACTCAGGCTTTTTACTTTTATAAGAACGAGATTATTACTAATTTAAGGTCATTAACAACACTTCTTAGGGTGATTGCATGGTGGATTGATCTCGATTCTAACATTCTTAAAATTTAATTAATTTAATTAATTAATAAAATTTTTAAATTAATTCAATATATTATTATATTATAATCAAACTAATATATTTTAGATGGAATTAACATAGTTCAATCAGATTTATTAGTTTTTAACAATTGTTTACACTGTAGTAACACCTAAATTAAAGTTGCCATCTTATCAAGATTTAGTTACTAATCTAGAATTAATTTCTCTATAGCCTACACCGCAGGTATTATGGTAGACTAGCACCACATAGCAATAATTAAGTTAAATCTCCTCATTTATTGAGTTTTATTTGACTTAGGAAATTAAGAGGATTTTTAGGATAAAATTATGTGGGAGTTCACTTGGAATTAATTTAGGAAACAATTGCACAGTTGTCAACCTTAGAGAAAATCAAGGAGTAATTGTTGCCAAATGTCAGATAACCTAAACCTTACTAGACAGTTATGGAGAGTTGAATGGTTACCACCCAAATCACCTTTAGCAACAAGGTAAAATCATCTCTTTGGATAGCCTACCCTCTCAAAAAATTGCCAAGCTTAAGAATTTCCAAAATCAAGTAATCTACAAAATGCTTTCCATATTATAGCTTTGAAACCAGATTTCACTTTGTCTTCTAGGTTCGCTTTTGTTTGTTTTTCATTTGTTTTAATTGAGTTCAAGATTTAAGACTAGTTCTCACCTTTTATTGTAATCTTAGGTTCCTGTCATGATCATAATCTGCAAATTTGTCAGTATTAAGTTCTAGAATTGTTGTTATAGTTTATAGGATTTATGTTTTCTTCTTCTTTATCTTAATTATTGTGTATGGGATCCATTCTTATGTCTTATTTAGATTTATCTCATGACTTCAATCTATGAATTTGTTAGCATATGATTCTATATCTGTGAGTGTTGTTGATTTAAGTCTTATTATTGTTTTCAAGTTATGTTAATGCAATCATATTTCTTTATGCTTCAAAACTCTCATTTTCTTCCATGTCTTCTTTATGTTTCTACTGTCTGATATTAAAGTAGGGTAATCCAGTTTGTGATGTAGATTTTTTTGTATGTCTATGAAGTTATTTTTGTTTACAAGTATAGTAACTAATATAAAGATTTTGGTATTGTCCAAATTACTTCTCGTAAGCAATAATCATGGTATAAATTTTTTTGTATATAGTAGGGTATGGACTACAAAGTGTCCTTGAAATCTCATTGATTCAAAACTTTCATCACCACCAAACTCTCGTACATTTATAAATTTTTGCAAGTGATTTTTCTGAGCTTTGGAGAAAAGTGTCTATCATTTGTACTCTTTGAATTGATCAAAGAACATGACCTTCAAGCATTGAGCTTTACTTGCTTGCATTGGCAAAAATCACTATTTGGCCCCTTAACTTCTTAAGCTTGAGTTTGGATTTCCTCCAATTGTAATGTTGTAGCCTTAAACCTCTCAACCTCATAAGTTGGTAACTTTATCACCAATTTAATAGTAAAATGTCACGTGTAGTCACGCACTCATTACTCTTTATCAAAAATTGCCATATCACTTCACACATCATCAATGTTTCGCACATAATCAATTTTAATCCATGTAATATCTTGTCACATTAAAGACTTATTTACTATGCTGAAATTATCAATTTGCCCTTAATTTGTTTTCAAAATTTCAAATCACATCCTTCCTCCTCTGATGAATAACAACTTTAAAATGACAAAAGGTGCAGAATCCCTCACAAAATTGTTGCATTAAAACAAATCCCCACCCCAAAAATTTGTTGATGCATTTTGCCTCTCAAAAATTTTGAATTAGAGAAAATACCCCTAATTTAACTACTAACATCCATAGGCATTATCTTTTCACCTAAGGTCATATGATGTGGCACTTGCCCTCATGATGCTTGTGTGGAGCTTATGTGGAGTTAGCTCTAAATTAAAAAAATAAAATAAAAAAGGCAACATGGCGTTAATAACAATGTCAAACTTTTATAAAACATAGAATTTCTCAAAATGCCAAAGTCCATTAAATGACCATTAATAATGGAGAAAAGAGGGACAAGGGGTAAATGAAAAGTTTCAACCTCTAAAAAATTAACACTTTCTATTTCCTTGGCCTTACACTTTGTCTTCATGGCTTCCTTTTCAAATATTCAAGGTTCAACTTTATTTCCATCACACTTTAATGACTTTGGGAATATGAAGTATAATTACAAGGGCCTTTATTAGTTTTGTCATTGTAGGCTTAGGGCACCCAGATGGATATCTTGGAGACTTTGGATATTGGGTAGGTGCTTTTTTGGTTGTTAAAACTATTTTGAAATAGATTTAATAAGTATTTAATTCTTTTCCTTGCTTTGACAATTTGGTAAGCTACCATTTTCTACACTTTCTATGGTTCAATTTTTTTGCTTTTTTCTATTTCTTCTTAGCTTGCTTGGCATTGTTCTAACTTCAAGTGAAAGATAGATTTTATAATCATATCTCTTCGAGATCTCTTTCCCTCTAATGTATTCAATTGGTGTACCATATGTTAAGAGGTATGCCTTTTTCCTATAGCGATCATCAACAACATTCTCAAAGGTCGATTCCTTATTTCTGTTACATACAATGAATATTGGTGGGGTATTCTGATTAAGTCTCATTCTCTGTAAGTGCATTTCTTGTTCTTTAAATCAACATTTGTGAACTTTGATAATAAATTTGGTAAGCATTTTGTTATGTATAATCATTATTCCAAAGTATCTTACAATCACTAGTTTTTGATTTATTGTCGAAGCACTTTGTTAGAATTCTTGGTGCTATGTTTGTTGGCTACTACTTCACTTGGAATTCTTGTCTTTAAACCGTTACGTCGCTTATTCATAAATTGCAATCAACATTGATATGATAGCGTTGCACCTTGCTTTCAAAATCCGTGAGTTGAATGTTTCACATATATTATTATCAACACTGCTATATTGTGAATGATAATCATAAAACCTTTTACCCCATACCTTACCTTCAAATGCCACTATATGGTTATATGCATCTTCTAACAAATCCTTCAATTTATCCATCTCTTATAAGAATGCTAAGACAAAAGTAGCCCTAACACAAGTCCATAAAGCAATGTTGTCATCACCTTTGAAACTCTTTACAAAATTTGTATAAATGCGCCTAAAGCATTATCTATGAGTAAGACTTGGTCACCTTCTTTGTATGGTTGCTTTAATGACCTACATGTGATTTAACAAATTATGATAAGTTTAGGAAAACTAAACTCCTACAATTATTTTGTGCAAAAAATTAGTATTGAAATGCTATATTATATTAGTCAGATATGATTGTGTAACCATACCCATTATTGAGCTTCAAATCAACTACTAAAGCTTCAAAAAACCATTTCCAATAATCACTATTCTCATACTTCACCATAGCCTATACAATTGGATATATTTGGTTATTACCATCTTTTGCAATAGTGAAAAACAATACACCTTTGTATATCCCTTGGAAAAAACATGCATCAACCCCAAAAATGGTCTGCAGCCTATTTTCCATCCATCCTTCATTTTCAAGCAAATATATAGTCTTTGAAAAAGGAGAATATTTGCATCTCCACCAATTGTTACAACCTTCATTGTATTAGTTGGGTTAATTTCCCCTAAATACATTGCATATGCATTAATTTATGTGTATTCATTTTTGTAGATGCCTTCCAATTCTTTCAAAGCCATCCTCTTTGTTCTCTGACATTTATTAAATGAAATCTTCACTCTTAACTCAACATATGCCATTTCATCATATTACTGCACTTTAAGAAAGGAGTGTCATATATCCTTTGTCTAAAATAATCACTAACCATGTAACACTTCATAATTTTGTTATTAGAATACTTTAAAAAAATATGCTTTCTATAGTAGGTCTTTATCTTTAAACTATGGTCCTTCTTATCATAAGAAGCATAAACCTCACAATTACACAAACTAACTTTGTACTTGAATGATTGTTTCTTTTTGGATCATTCTTGGAATTAGGAGATTAACCCTTGTGAATTGACTATTTTCTCACAGCTCCCTAAAATTGGACATGATCTTTGAATCTCATGCTAACTTCAAAGTAAGGAACTTCACAATTTGGATTGTAAAAAATATCTAGAGCTCTTATGTAACTAATTGGCATACTAGAAACATACAACACATTTTCATCTTTAGATTCATTAGAAGTTTCCCTCAAATTAGTAACGTCATCACTCTTGACATACTCACTATCTCTTCCATCACTATAATTAAAAGGTTCTAAATTTTGAACTAAAATTTGTTATAATGATGGTAAAGAATCTCCTCACCATCTCTTCTCTAGAGTTGAAATTGCCTTACCTTTTTGAATTTTTGTATTGTGAAGTAGTGTCATGTACATTTTCATTATAGCTTTTCTCCTCTGCTTCCTTGATCTTTCTAATTTAGCTTGGTCTAATTGTTTAGTCGAAATTCTTTACCTAGTTTGCTTTTTTTTTTTTTCTTTTTTTTTCTGGAGTCCTTTTCTTGAGGATAAACTTGACCCTTTTTTCATTTGTTACCTTAGATGTTCCCAAATAAGGTATTCCTTAATTTTCTTCTTCAAAAACTAATTCTTTAGCTAGCCTTTTAATGGATCTTGCATTTCTTCTCACTAATATAAATTCCTCATCTTTGACATCATTGTTTGCAGGATGATCTTGTTTCTCTTAGTTAAGCTCCATTCCCTTACATCTTCTATACCTACATTATCATCATCTTTGTCTCTGCTGCCTTCTATATCTCTATTTCTGTTGTTGCATTCACCACTTTCAAAGTGGTATTCTTGGGTAATGTTGCCAAGATCATCTTCATGTAGTCATTCATTTACCTCTATACCTCTAGATCTAGCTCCTTACCTTCACCAATCGCATGTTATGAGCCATTATTATTCCATACATGATTTACCCAACCAATACAAGAAAGTGCAATCTCAACAAACTTTACCTCATGCTCAACATATATTTCACAAATACCCTCATCATTACAAATTTTTTAAATTCACCTAATACTATAATAATTAGCCAAACACTTAAGTTGACGAGGCATATTAGCTAATAACCTTTTGTAATAAACATCCTTTATCATGATTTTTTCATATCCGAAGCCAATAATAAATTCCATAATGATACCAATATTTAGTCTATCAATATCAACTACTTCATCAGAATAGATGTCATTTATGTAGTCAAATGGAGGCCTAGCTTCAAATTTTCCACCATGTAAAAAAATAAGTATTCCGTTTAACCTCATACTATTGAATAATGCATGCATTAGACACTAATTTTAAATTCAAATAAATAAAATATTTCAAATAATATCTTTCAAATGCCCATTTTTAATGTGGTTCAAACAAATTGACATTATACACAAAACACCAAACATTCATTCAATAACGAGAGACAATTAAAACTGTACAACCTTATGACTTTAAAGAGTATCCTAAGTTAAAATTGAAACCTAACAACCATAAACGAAAGCAATAAACATCACACACAAACCCAACCTTAATTGAAAGATCCTTAAAATCCCAAAGAATTAAATGCCCATAAACAAAAGAGAAGATTGATATAAGATTAAACATTTATCTTTAAAGTGCATAATCCCTTTTAGAATTGACAGCATTGAAATTCAACGAACCTCCATTTTCTCCAAGATAGTACTCTATCAACAACAAAGATCTTTTTCAAGTTAAGTGTCACGCCCCAAAACCCGAATTCGAGGCACGACAGACGCCGTACACTCGTGAGACAAGTCCCACAAGTACACAAGGCTCGGAACTTATCCAATTCACATCTGACAATCAAATAACTCAAATCCGATCTTTCAAAATTTCTTTCTATGTCCAACATGACTTAATCTCAAAACCTCCAAATCAAATCTCTTGTAAACTAACAATCCATTAAATGAATGTATAAAATCTCCGATTAAACTTTAGTTTACAAGATCATGATCTATATCTCAAATCTATATTCACTTTACAAAATGGCTAGCCTTCTAACTCGTCACTCCCCTCGGTTTCCCCGTCCTCGGTTTCGCTTCCTGAAATGGTGGACAAGGAAAACTATGAGATAACTCAATAAGTAAATATGGATAGCCCTTGGGTAAAAATGTAAGCATGCCAGATAAACCATGTAAGTATAACAGAACTTTCACTAATAAACCGTTAATGCGGAAATCAAATTCGGTTCAATAACAAAACGTTCAATGACAAAACCGTCAATGCAGAAATCAGATTCAGTTCAATAACAAAGCGTTTCATGACAAACCGTTAATTAAAGTCATAGCATGCCAACAAGTGTAATCACGAAAACAGATACAGTACGGGCACGAAATAGACGTCTCCTCTATGGGTCACGGCCAGTGTTTAAACCTCCCACTGGCAGGCTACAGGAATTACTAGTGTTTAACCCCCACTAGCAGGGTTACAGGAACGAACCGGTTCTATCAATAACATAGACATGCGCCGACATGTGCTAGCGTTTAACCCCCACTAGCAGGATCATCAATAACATATCAACAT